AAAAAAAAAAAAAAAAAAAAAAAAAAAAAGGCGAATTGTAAATTAGTTGGCAAAAAGAAAAACAAATGCTTAAGCTGAAGAAAGCAAAGCTTTGAAATTAGCTGCAGCAAAATTAATTTTATAAAGAATTGATTTCGATCTCCAAGGATAAGTGTCAATTTGTGATATTCTTGTTAGCTAGGTGGTACTAGTGGGGCTGCTTTCGTGGCTTAATCTTATTGGTTGTTTTTGCTTTCCCAAAATATATCTCTCTGCGCGGATTTGTTGAGAGAAGTGGGTTTGAAAATTCAGGAACATTTGCTGCTCTTTCCAATAGCAGCAACACCCAATAGCAGCAGGCGTGTTGTTGGCTTCATTTTGTCCAATAAAGAATGAGCCTTCATTTTACGTGTTCTTACATTATAATAGTGCACAAGTGGAATTAATTATTAATTAAAGATACATAATGGAGATAATTAGTTACTCAAACAGAGAGGATTAAAAAGTATAATTAATCTATGAGTCGTTGATAATTGATGGTGCAGTGGATCTAAACTTGAGATCTTTTTAATAGATCTTGACTTGTAACATTACAGCATTATAGCATTATAGCCTAGCTGTAATGTAATATCCCAGAATAGATATTTTCTTTTGTTTTCGCGTCGGCTATTTTGAATATAATTTGAATATGTATTGGCACAACAATCTCCACAAATATCTCCATTAATTAAGAACTAAGATGCTATGGGGTTCAAATTTGAGACCTCTAATTTGCAAGTCAATACCCTTTTTCACTAAACTACAACACCTTGTTGACACAATTATCTAGTTATAAATCATATAGAGCTACGGAGTTTCCTGGAACTTGGCTTGGGCTTAGCAAGTGAAACTATTATTAGTTCTTGCAATTATATGTATAATGATAATATAATCAAGGATTAGTTAGTTGCTATATATAATTTGTGAAGTGGTTATTATATGATTATATCCAGATGCAAAGTACTCTGCATCATGCATGCATGCATGCATGCATGCCTGCCTCATGGCGATAAGAAAATATGAACGCTGCTGCTGCTGCTGCTGCTGTCATTATTAAACGTAAGGAAATATGATCACATGCACAGTTTGAACAATTCTATATTTAGTCAAATTTTGCATCCTCAAAGGAGATGCTAAGATGCCAATTATCGCATCCGTCTTTACAATCCCACAAGATTATTGACTTTTTATAACAAATATTTGACGAATTCAAAGCATGAGAATCTTGTATTTATACGGAAATCATAAAATAATGAGAATTAATTGTACTTTCTTTCTAATCAAGTATTGCTGTGCTTTGCGGCCGATTGGCTTTGGTTAATGTTCTGTATGGTTCCAGTTCCAGATAGATATGTGATGTGAATTTGATCTGTGAAGGAATATAAAGGGACGTTTGTTGGAATCGCAATGTGTTATCGAGTCGAGTGATATTTTCATGCTAGATAATAGATATCATATGAGATGGATGCGATTCATGTCTATCTAGCTTAAGAAAATTGATGTTTCAAATCTAATCCATTAATTTATACCTAATAGGGACAATTTAAAGCACCTGTTATACCATCACACAGTCACACTCACACTATGACAGGGGGACCGACAGAGCTCGGTTTTCTCACCATTCATTTTTGTGTCCATGTTTTTGTCAAACTCTCGGTTGAAACAACCTAACTAAAATAGTACCATCACATCATTCATTTCTCAGATCATTTTGCTTTTCTATTACTTAGGGTTCATTTATAGAAAACTAACCTTGTGGCTGTGCATTTTTTACCTCCTTCCCAAATATCCAATTAAGTGTTTTTTGTTCCTTCCATCCTTCCGTTTCATGTATCAAACGCATTTTCTTCGCATTTAGATTCGTCTACACATTCATTTATGCCTAATATTTATCTCATTCACTGGAAGCGGCTTGTAACTCAAATGGTTAAGAGAAGAATGCACAAATCTCTCTCGCTCGTATGAAAGAAATATTCATCCCATTCATTCATTGCGGTTTCAATTCAAGTCTGTCTTTAAATTTCATGGATTGGCCGGAGGTAGGTGGTGGCCACTAAAGCCCAATCATCTTGTACATTCGAACCACATCATAACGACATCGTACGGATGATACTTAGAAAAGAATAAAACCCAAACATCTTTTTACATTAAGCCCAACCCAATCTTGCTTGCGAAGCCCGCCCGTACTTGTCATTTAAAGTCTAATTCCATTATCCACACCCTCTTCCTCCTTGGTCACTCTGTCTGTGTGTAGAGACGAGGCTAGAGCAAGAGAGAGAATGGCAGTCGCTGGTCTGCAACTCTCGGCTCCCTCAGCACATGGCCAAGGCCAAGTCTTATTAAGTTCAGCAAAGTCATCTCTCTTCTCGGCGGCCCCACTCCGCTTCTCACTCCCCGCCTCTGGTACCTACCTAGCTCTGTAGCAAATGAAATTTATTTTTATTTCGTAATCATTTGGTTCGGCTATGCGTTTAATTCGCCATTATATGCTTTTCATGTTCTGCGTCTTCAGGAAGAGAATCATTTTCTCGGAAACAGCTCGTTGTCTTTGCTCGGAGACTTTCGGGCTTGGAGGAAGCCATGAGAATTAAAAGGTACAGTCCGCTCACCTCCTGTTCCTTCAAACCAAGTCTTACAATTAGTTGAAACCTCGGATTTATCAAATTAATCTTTTATTTCCTTCTTCTGCTGTTGAACACTCTATTTGGTGTCACAAATGTGATAATTTGAGTTCCTATATAAAATAATGCTGTTTGAATTAGACTGTCGAATTTTTAATAGAGTTTGGAATTTAAACAACAACAAAAAGTAGAAATATGACAATAATTTGATATATACATGGAGAAAGATACACGAACACCACTTAAATTCAGTCATTGAAGTTGATAATTGATATTAAGAATGCATCATTCAATGACCTTACTTGGCTTAGCTCGTGGATTATTTTATAATATGTAGAGAACGTGAGAGTCAGCAGCTTACACCAAAGGTTAAAAGAAGGCCGCCATTGAGGCGTGGAAGGGTATCGCCAGAACTTCCTGTTCCAGATCACATTCCAAGGCCTCCTTATGTTGGTTCATCTGAATTGCCAGAAATTGCCAGTGAACATCAAATTCCTGGTTCTCAAGGCATTGCTGACATGAGAGCTGCATGTGAGCTTGCTGCTCGCGTCTTACACTCTGCAGGAAAGTTGGTTAGGGTAAGCTTGCTACCTGAATTTAGGTTTGAAGTTTCAAATTTTTTTATAAAGCTATTTGAAGATTCAGCTTTTTGTTTCTTATGAAAAAGAATAAGTGAATGTACTTTTATTCTTCAATGTCATATCTTACTTCTACGATTCAACTTATGTTTTCCTACCATTGGCACTTTAATCTTAAAGATCAGGGATTTTTGGTATTCCATTAACATCCTTTTACATCCTTCCAGCCATCAATAACAACTAATGAAATTGACAAAGCAGTGCTAAAGCTATTTGAAGATTCAGCTTTTTGTTTCTTATGAAAAAGGATAAGTGAATGTACTTTTATTCTTCAATGTCATATCTTACTTCTACGATTCAACTTATGTTTTCCTACCATTGGCACTTTAATCTTAAAGATCAGGGATTTTTGGTATTCCATTAACATCCTTTTACATCCTTCCAGCCATCAATAACAACTAATGAAATTGACAAAGCAGTGCACCAGATGATTATTGATGCTGGTGCTTATCCCTCCCCTCTTGGCTATGGGGGATTTCCAAAGAGTGTTTGTACATCTGTTAATGAGTGCATGTGCCATGGAATACCTGATTCTCGACAGTTACAGGTTTGGAATGCTACATTGTACATTGCTCCTTGCACAATATTCATGTCATACCCGTACTAACGATAATCTTTTTTGCAGAGTGGAGACATTATAAACATAGATGTGACGGTCTACCTAAATGTATGTTCCTGATTTTATGATTTATGACTTGTTGTTTTAGCTCATTTGTGTGTTTCCCTAACCAAACTAGCTCCCAGAAAATGTTTATATCATTAGTTTAATTGTTTGTAACCTAAATTTCCGATTATTTATCTACGTCAATTCATTCAATACGCCAGTTCTGCATTTACAAGTACTAGTTGTCTACCAGCTATTGGTAGTCTAATGTGTGCAGTCATTAAAAATGGTTTTTGTTCAATACCAACCATTTTCTGGGAATTTTGTTTCATTGATGCAATGGGTTGGATATTTTTGTTCACTGACTTCTTGTACCATTTCCTATTATCTGATAATGAATGGTATAATTCTTTATATCCCATGTTGTCTGTGATAGGGATATCATGGAGATACATCAAAGACATTTCTTTGTGGGGATGTCAGTGATGCAATCAAACAACTAGTGAAGGTAAAATTTTCAGATTGATAGCATTGCATCTTGTAGTTCAGAATTGTTTTGGACATGCAAAAAGCATGCTTTTATCATTCATGTACATCAAGGTTTCATATCTATTTTGAAATGTACTATATCTATTCCTTATTAAGCTTTGATTCTGTTACGGATCTCCAATTTATGCATTACCTTCATCTATATATATCATTGCTAATCGTTTTACTTTGGTGGCAGGTAACTGAAGAGTGCTTGGAAAGGGGCATAGCAGTTTGCAAGGATGGTGCTAGCTTCAAGAAAATTGGAAAGCGAATTAGGTTTGCTTCGCCTCCTTGTGATATGTTGGATAAGAACAGATTGTAGACATATTTTAGATTTGAAAGATGATACAATAAACATGTGTATTGCATGTGGTGTTTCACACTATGTAACTAAAATGCACAACAGGTGATTTAAAAAATGTTTTCTCTTGTTGTTAAGATTTTATTTGGATCATTTTCAGCGAACATGCTGAAAAATATGGTTATGGCGTGGTGGAGCGTTTTGTTGGGCATGGTGTGGGGACTGTATTTCATTCTGAACCATTAATATTACATCACCGTAAGTGACTAGTTGAAATTCTACTTTTGCATACTTTGTTGCTATCTTCGCCTCAGGAAAGAATGAACTGCTTATGAATGGTTAGGTGAAGAAAACTACAGTAAGTTTGGATTCACAATGTCAAAGCATTTTTATGCCATTGGGTACATCCTGATAGGAAAGATTCATACTATTAACTGAACAGTATCAGTGACCTGTTGTGATAATAGTGGCTACTAATTGAGAATATTATTCCTAATGAGGTAAACCATAAAGGTATACTTATGCTTGAATCTGGACTAGGAATATTCTTTCATTTCTTAAAGAAAGAATACCATTCTGATTGACCCATCAACTGCTCACATAGAAAAATTGCAATGACCTGCCGCCCAAGCATTCAAGAAAGTTGAATTTTCTCCTTTTATAAAAAACCTTGGGTTCTTTCTGCTTGTCCTTTGGTTGCGGTGGGGAGGTTGCATTGCATCTCATACTTAATATTTGCATTCATTTGGCTGTTGATCAGGCGTGACTAATCCTTATAAATGTTAATTTTTTAACAGGCAATGACCAGTCTGGTTGCATGGTTGAAGGTCAGACATTTACCATTGGTGAGTGCATTAGTAGTACTACCGGGAAGTTCCTTATTCAGATTTGAAAGTTTTGATGGTTAAAAAATGCATAGATTTTACTGAAAGCGACATAGTATGGCTAGGATGATGGATGTTTCGTACCCAAAAATAATTACGGAAAAATAGAAGAGAAATACGAAGAGTAAAAATTAAAATTGAAAGCCCCCTATTACTGCTGAAGTAGGGGAGGGTTAGAAGCCGATGATCTTTTGGTCTAGATGCATGTATTCCATCCTCGAAGATGGGGAATTTAAGATCTTAAGTTTGAGCATGTGAAAGTGGATTTCTGAATCTATAATCCTCATGACACAATTTATTTCTCTTGGACTGCAGAACCCATCCTTACTATGGGAAGCATTGAGTGTAAAACATGGCCGGACAATTGGACAACACTAACCGCTGATGGTAGCCCTGCTGCACAGTTTGAGCATACCATTCTGATCACTAGAACTGGTGCTGAAATTTTGACAATAAGTTAAGATGGTATTGCTCCTTTTCTTTGACGTGAGTTCTTTATATATAAGTCGCTACATTTTTTTTAAAGAATTGTATTTAGTAAAATTGATCAAAGCTTGGAAAGTCTCATCAAAAGAGTAGTTATCATTTTCTTATTCCGTGTCATGAAATCAAATAAAGTTTCTAGAGAACATCTGTTCACGTAGCATTATTCTTTAGCTATTGAGACACGAGAAGGTTTGAACCACTTTCTCAACAATTCCAAGTGATTTGGTAAATGCCCTTTTTTCCTTGAACATATTATTCAATGCAGGTAAAATTTCTCCTCCGGCTACTGGAAGAAAAGAAAAAACCAGAAAAATTGTGCCAGAATTTTGAAACTTCAACACAAAATCACCGACCATTTTGTCGAACACTAGCATTCCTGTTGACTATCCAAGTCCCTGTCTCTGTCTCTGTGGCGGTGCAGCTCCAACCTTCAACACGTGTTTCAGCACGGGGGAATTTTCCCACCTGAGTCAGCCAGCCAGTCAACTTCGAAAGTTTGAAGCGCAACTTCCTGTCATGCTCATGTCTGTGTTTGACCAGTCGAAAATTGAATCACAAAATGACGCTACTGCAATTCTTGAATATGCACCTCATCATTCCAAGCCATGACATTTTTTGGGTTTAGCTTCAAAAGTGCTTAACATTGAGATTTTCATTGTAAATAAATAATCGTTGTTCCCTACAAACCACCCGACATTTTACTTCAAAAAATCTGCTTTTTGAAAGTCGGAGATTTTAAGTAGACTCATAAATTAGCTTTTTGGGAGACGTGATTGTAAATTGATTGCAACAAAATCTATTTTTCCTTGATGATGATCAAGAATCCATGTGAGAAACGCCCTCTAAATAACAACCAAGCATCCTTTGGACAAACAAAATCTATTTTTCCTCCGAAGAGGTCTCAACATGCCGACCACTGTGCAACGTCGTCCGCACCATTCCACTTTTCACACAAGCAGAGAATCCACGTGTTCAAAAAGCAATATTCTAAAAAGCAATTCATATTATATAACTCCCACTATCTCCGCTTCCTAATCATATATCTCCCACTACTTTACCATTTACTTTCCATCTTCCCCTTCCTTCAACCTCTGGGATTCCTTCTGCCATGGCGTCTGCAAGCTCTCTCAAGGCAATCTCTTCCCTGTATATTTCCAACTCAATAAGGTCTCCTTCACCTTCCCAAGCTCAAAGACTGTTGGGTTTCAATCTCTCGCATTCCTTCCCAACCCTAAAATCCACACCAACCCTCCAAGGCTTCCCAAACTCCAAGAACTTCACGAGCACAGCTTTCTTCTCCCAGAAAAAGAAGGAGCCAGCTGATTCTTCAAGACCCAGTAAGTACTTTTTTTTCTTCTTGGCAATAAGCTCAATTAACATGTTCTTTTTATTTCTTTGTTTAAAAGGTTTTAATTTCCTTTTCCATTTTCAGCAAAGGTTCAAGAACTGTATGTGTATGAGATCAACGAGAGAGACAGAGGCAGCCCAGCATACCTAAGACTCAGCAAAAAAGAAGTCAACTCACTCGGTGACCTTGTTCCATTCAGCAACAAGATCTACTCTGGGGACTTGGAGAAAAGGTTGGGCGTAACAGCAGGCTTATGTGTTCTGATCCAAAACGTACCAGAGAAGAAAGGAGACAGGTATGAGGCGATCTACAGCTTCTACTTCGGAGATTATGGGCACATATCAGTCCAGGGAGCTTATTTGACTTATGAGGACACTTATTTGGCCGTGACCGGTGGATCTGGGATCTTTGAGGGAGTGTACGGACAGGTCAAGCTGAAGCAGATTGTGTTTCCCATCAAGTTGTTTTACACGTTTTATTTGAAGGGCATTTCTGATTTGCCTGTGGAGCTTACCGGCGGGAAGCCGGTGGTTCCGTCGCCGACTATTGAGCCATCTCCGGCTGCCAAGGCCACCGAGCCCAACGCCACCATCCCAAACTTCACCAACTGATCATCTTATGGTGGAAGGGGAACTTGACCAGAAAAACATTATAAAAAAAAAAAGCAAAAAGTTGGTGTGGACTTTCTGGTGTTATGTCGTAGCACCAACCTGTTGGTTTTTTGTTCTCCTTGTTTTTTTTCTTTACAGTGTTTTGCTTATGTAGTTTGTGTATTAAAATCTTATTTCGTTCTCAACTTTATTGAGAATCATGGACGGATTTAGGCAGTGCTAATGGAAAATTTGGAAATCATCTGTTAATGTTTGTTGTTGAAAATTGAAATGAACCAACTAATCAGCCATCTAGGTAATAAGATAATAATTGTACTAGCAATTATCCCTTTCGAAAGTAAGATAATAATTGTCCTAGTCATGGAATAATGGATACCAGCTGTTTTGCAATTACAAATTTTAGTCAAATTCTAAACTAAAATAGCTAGAAAGCTATTATTGCTAATGCTAACCACTCCAGCAATGTTCTCTCCTCCTAGTTAAATTCTCTCTCCTCCTCTCTAGATGTAGAGAGCTAAAAGTTGGTTATCCAAAATAGAGAGCCAAATAGGGTTTTCCTTATTTTTAGCCAAAGTAGCTAGGTATGAGAGGATAAAGAGTCTGCTAGAGATGCTCTAAGAAGAGGGAGGGTGAAATTCACACAAATGCGGGCTTGAACTCAACATCACTTGAGAGCATAAAGAGTCTGCTGGAGATGCTCTAAGAAGAGGGAGGGTGAAATTCACACAAATGCGGGCTTGAACTCAACATCACTTGAGAGCGCATAAAAAATTTAGGCCAATCAAACTGACACTGCATTGGTAGGCTTCAACCCAGGACCATGCTGATCTAACGACAGTCGTCAGCCATACATGTTACAAACCTTGGATTGCCTGGGCCAGATATCAGGGTTGGGCTTATGAAATGCTACCCAGATCCACAAAAAAAGAACCATGCATATGGGTCAGCCCAGTCCATTTAAAACATACGACCCGAATGATTCATAAGCTACAAATTTGGGCTTCCCTAATGGTCCTCTTGAAAAACCAAAGAAACAAAAAACAGAGTAAATAATAAAAATACAGACAAGAGGGAAAACAGAGGGTCTCACACTCACAGTAGCACTTTTCAGTCGGTAGGTTCCTTTGAAAACGACGCGTCGTCTCTTGAAAACCGTTGTCCTCTTCCACGTCCTCTCTTTTACCTGTTTTGTTTTGTACACTGGACTCTTGAAAACCATCAAGACGACCAGTGAGTACATTAGTACGTAGGATTATTATGTCCAGTCCCAGTCCCAGTCCCAGTCCCAGTGACTGTGGCAGATAAACATATATAATTCAGCCACACGAAAAAAAAGAAAAAAAAAGAAAGAGTTTTATAGCTTGAATAGGATTTGATTGTATCAATATGCGCAGGCTGGTCTGCTTCTTCAAATTCATGTTCACAAGGAATCACATGCGCATCTAATTTAAGACCCAAATATTTGGTAATTTGTAATGATATCAGAAGCAAGAGCAAGCTAGCAAGCAAGCCTCCTCCTGTTATCAACATTCACTTTTTTTTGTACTTGTCCAGATCATCAGTCCAGTCCCTATTTATTTCCTCCAAAGTACAAAATGAAAGCAGTCTTTTTAGATTCTATCTACAACCCAGATGCTGCTGTTATGGTAAAAACAACTGTAACCAGCTGAGAAATTGACCTACGTAGGGAAAGAGACAAGTTTTTAAATTTTACTTTTTAACTTTTTGACAATATAAAAAGATGAATTTAAATTAAATTATATAATAATAATAGTAATAATACCTATATATATAACCACCATAATAGCAATATTTGCCTCTGATACAAGTTGTTTGCGAATAGTAGCTAGTATCATGAATATGATGGAGGCCTCGTTTTCGAAGATCGATGTTTGCAGACACAAAACAGACATGAAAACGTCTAAGAAGAATTTAATAAGATTGCATGCAAACAATATTATTAAAAGCAACAAGAAGCAAAGCACCCCATTGGCTCACACAGCAAGGAACTGATTGAGATTTTAAGTTTAAAGCTGCATCAGTTGCCTCGGATCTTTAACTCAGAGTTCTGCCCTAATCTTATTTAATTACAAAACATTTAAGGTTCCAGACACGACCAACCAAGCCCCTGAATTTATGTAAAGGAAAAAACCATGTGTAACCCTAAACCTAATGCAGAGAGAGACACAAATTACAATTAATTAATGATCAGACACACAGGTGCATGCTAAAATGATCTTCCCTCACATGCATGCTTGCATGGCTGATGGCAGCACAAATATTATACATAAAAGCAAAAAAGAAAAAATGGAAGAGATCAAAAAATGATAATAAAGCCAAAGGAAAAAGATGATAATTATGAGAGTTGATAGTGGTCATTTTGCAGAAGATTGATAGATAGATAGATAGGGTTAAAGGGCAAAGCTCACAGGAGTCTGAAAATGTTTCGTAGTATCAGTTTGTAGTTGTTCTGAAAAGGAAAAAGGCAAACCCTTGGGTGAAACCCCAAATGCAGTAACTCTCAGTGGTCCCTCTTTACCCCCACTGACATTACATGGACTCATTGATCAAAGTGTTTGTAATTTTCATTTTTATTTTTTGGGTAAAAAAAAGTTTTTGTATTTTTTAGTATTTACGATGCTTTTAGCTCTCCAAGTCCAAGCTCAGCTCAATATACTCAATAGCTTTGGCAAATGTAAAGCTATCAACAGTAGAATCTGTGACTTTACTGTGTCCATGTCTGCACATTTATCTGCCCTCCTCTGCTCTCTTCTCACTGAATTTACTTGACCACCTTCTCACACACACACACACTCTCTCTCTCTCTCTCTCTCTCTCTCTCTAGTTTTTTCTTAGAATTATGAATATTAAAAAAGCATCAGAAAAGGTACGTACTTTAATTAAAGAATTGAACTGCCACTTCCAACATTAAATGCATAGAACCTTGGCTTTTCATTGTACTGTTTGTCTTCATCTTCTCACTCCCTCACTCTCTCACTGTCTCTCACACACACATAAGAGAAGAGACAGAGACAGAATCTCATCGCTACTAACTAAATCTAATTAATTAAGTACAGCTAGCTAGCTAGTTAGCTAAAAATCGAACTCCAAGTGTACTTACTAATTAATTACTAGTTAACCCTTAAACGAATGAAGCAGAGCTATTTAATCATCATCGTCATCTTCATCATCCAGATGATCTTCTTCTTCAGGCTCAGTACACAACTCAACACCATAGGGTGCGTGGCCATCCCCAAATGCCCGAACATGGTCTTTGAGCGACCTCTTGTGCTTGAAATCAGACCCACAAATGCAAAACCAGAGTTTCCCGCAGTTCTTCTCGTGAGTCCTCCAATCTCCTCTCACAGCAAATGGCTTCCCACATTTGCGGCACCCAAATGGCTTTGACCCATGTTTTCTTTTGTAATGTGTCTGCAGTGTCCTGAAGTCTTTGAGTGGCCTTGACCTTGGGTGCTCTATGTTGTTCTTGCACCCCTCTGCGCAGCAGTAGCACGGAAGTCTCAGCACTGATGAAGCTGGCTTTGTCCCTCTTAAGGATTCTGGCCCCTTCCTATATTGTGATCCATGCCCCCACATATGCATCTGCAAAAATTAACAGTAAACACAGCTTTAATAAATTAGGGCAAATGCTATTCCCCTCCTACTTAATTTGTGATTTTCGAGTGCAGGAGACCATTTGGGAGTGGGGATTTGGAAAGAGAAGAAAGAAAGAAAGAACATTATTTGGTAATTAGCTCTAGCGAATGCAAGGAATACTTAGGCCATACAGAAAATAAAATGCTAAAAGTAGACAAAAGCAGTATTAGCAATTAATTACTGTGTATACAGCAGTGGTATTGATTGTGATGAGGAGTACCTGCATGTTGTTGTATCTGTTGAATGTTTTGCTGCAGACAGGGCAGGAGAACTGGGTGGGGCCAACAAGGATTTGTGCAGGGGAGGGAATCCAGTACTGGCCTTCCATAGGAGCACCAATGTGGTTGTGGTTAGGGTTTCCAATTGATGAACTAATTGTACTACCACTACTTGGTGGCCCAATATGAAGAGCTACTGTGACAGCACCATCCTCAAGATGATCAGTATTAGGGTTTTGATCTTGATGATGGTGGTGATGGTGATGATGATGAGGAGGAGGAGGTTGGGTTGAGGAAGAAGACTGGTGATAGATGAGGTGGTACTGTTTGGGGATACCCTGTCCAGGAGGACCAAGAGAAAGAAAAATGGACTCTTCATCTTGATCTTCATCAGCTTCTAAGAAAGAAGTAGCACTGTTACCCAGATCAGTGGTAGTAGTAGTAGTGGACGGAGTTTGCATGGTGATTTTGATGAAGCGTTTGTTTATTATATGGGAAAGAGAGAAAGAGGGCAAGAGAGAGAGAGAGAGAGGGAAAGGGAAGTGGGATTTTGGGCTTCTGGTGGAGAAGAAAAGTGGGGACGGGAGAGAGGGAAAGGGAAAGGCAATAAATATACATAAACAAATGTTGTTTATGTTTGTGTTTTGGGTATTTGGTTTTTTGTGTGTTGTGGGTTCTTATGGTAGCTATGATAAATTATGATCATATCAGATTATAAATGTGGGTTGTCAGTGTGATCGGCATTGCGTTTGAGATAGAGAGAGAGCTTTTATATAGAAAAAAGGTTCAACAGAGAGAGAGGCTAGAGTTTGTGGCAAGTTGCACGTGGATTGGATAGGCGCAGGAGCACAGGAGGAAATTGATTAAATAGAGAGATGTTTTGGCGTGTTCGGGAATGGAGGAGACAAAAACCAGAAAAGAAGGAGGAGGAGGAGGAGGAGGAGGAGGAGGTCTAGGGGTAGTGGGGGCAAATTGGCAAGGCAATGCAATGCATAGAGAATAGCTAGCGTGCTCTACCAACACAATAACACACCACACTAAACTCGGTACTTTTTCTCCCTCACTTTGCTCCAAACTCTTGCTCGTTTCCCGAGACCCTAGCTTAGATATCATATACCTCTCCCTGCTCATCTCTCTCTCCATTTATTTATTCATGTACATCTTCTGCCCTTATTTACTCTCTCTATGTCTCTGTCTCTGTCTCTGCTCTCTCCAAATCCAAAAGTTGAGAGAGCGAGAGAGAGAGAGAGAGAGAGAGTGAAAATATATTGATCACATACAATATTACAGTAGTGTATGTAGAGACATGGAGAACTGTAGAGTGGAAGGCGTGAGCTTCTCT